AGAGGCCCAGCTTCAGTGTTTATAACAAGTGCCCCCCAGAGTCTGGGGCCCCAGGCTGGGCTCCCCGCTCCCCCATCAAAGTTTAAAACAAGCCGATGCTGCAAAGGAAACTTATAAAATGTACTGAGTCTGTTCAGCAGAGCCAGGAAGGGGAGCCATCTAGAAGGGGGGCAATGGGGGAGAGGGGAATAGAGGGGGCACCAGGCAGCCATCGCCCTTGAACTATAATAGAGATCGAGGCCTTTGTAAGCTGCAGAGGACAGCCCGGGCCCCCGTCCCTGGAGATCACACAGGGGCTGCTTCCCAGACGGGATCACTAACCCCTGGGCCACACTGACACTGCGCTCTGGGGGCATCTGAATCAGGCAGTGCAGGCTGGGCCATGGCATGTGGTGCCCTCTGGGCCTCAGTTTCCTCCTCTGAAAAACGGGGCCATCCCTAACACCTACGTTGGGGTTACTATATACAGAGCGTCTAACCACAGGCAGTGGGTCAGAGAGTGCTCTCCGGGGTTCTTTCTGAACTGTATCTGCCTTACAGTGAAAGGCACAGTTCCTATTGTAGTGCCTCCCTGCCCCCCGTCCCCAGGGGAATGCAAACACCCTCTTCAGGGGCAAGGCTGTTAGAAGGGAGGGATCTCACACTCAGCACCCAAACCAAGGCTCCCGCCCTCCCCGCGCGTGGGGAAGCGTGGAGAGAGGCCACGGCTGGACTCACCGATCTCAAACGAGTGCTCCAGCAGCAGCCCCACGGCACCACAGGCCTCGTCTCGACCTTCCACCCCGGCCTGCGGACAGAGCACCCCAAGTGAGGCCCACAGAGCCCTCGCCTGACCCCGGACAGACTGGCATCCTGAGAGAGGAGCCTTCTTTTCATCCTCATATCCAGACGCTGATGTTTGCCCACGACTCAGGAGCTGAACATTCAGGATCTGGACGGTTCCCAGAAAACAAGAGCCTGCAAGCAAGCTAACCTCGCTTCCAAGACAGCTATCCGAGGGTCACTTTCACGTCCGGTACCATAATTATGCCTGAGTTAAAAGGCACCCTGCGGCCCTAGCTGGTCTGGCTCCCTGGATAGAGAGCATCAGCCTGTGGACTGAAGGGTCCCGGGTTCGATTCCAGCCAGGGGCACAAGGCAGCCGATGGAGGATTCTCTCTCATCACTGATGTTTCTCTCTCTCCCTCTTCCTTCTTCTCTAAAAAAATAAATAAAATATGATCTTAAAAAAATTTTAAAGGCACCCTGAGCTTCCTTTCTAAGCTATTAATATCCATGTAGCCTCGTGTTCACCTTAACTGCCCCAAAAAGGAGGAATCCACACCCTCCTTTTCTCCAAATCCAAATTTCTCCTAATTCTGCTGCATCCTCCGTTCCAGATTTTAATCCGCTCGAGACCCCGCCCCCTCATGCATATTCAGCCACGGCACACCCCCTCCAATCTCGCGAGAGCCCTCCACCCCGCCTTTTTCCTTTCAGCGGCCCGCCGTCTGATTCGCCAGTATTCCATCCGGGCCACACCTCCTCATGCATATTCATGACTGTAGGCCCCCAGCGTCAGAACACGGGAGAGGAGAGGCAGGCTGGCCCCGACCGGCACCGCGCCGAACGCATGAGCGCCTCGGTCCCGCCCGCGCCCGCCCCTCCCGCTGCCTTCCCGCTTCCGGTGCGGCCTCCGCAGGTGCGGGGCTGCCAGCTCGCCCTCCACGGTGCCTTCACCTCTTCCCTCTCGGCCCTGCGTGGCCCCGTTCCCGCCCTAACCGACCTCGCGATGTCTGTCGCCCGCGCCAAGGAGCACTCACCCCCCGCGCAGCGGCCCCGGGCCGGCAACCGCTGCCCCGCGCGCGGCTGGGGGCTGCGGCCGCCATCAGCAAGAGCAGGAGCAGCCGAGTGGCCCTGGCGCCGGCCGCCGCCATCTTGGCCCCTTCCCACCAGTCCACGGGCCAGAGGGAGCCGAGCGCCGCGGAGCACTCTGGGAGGAACGGACCTATCCCTCCCGCGCATGCGCCAGCGCCGGCTTCTTGCGTCTGCGCACTAGCGCCCGCCCCCTACGGGGTCTGACGTCAAGGGCGGGCGCCGCCCTCTGTGACGTCACAATCCCAGCCGTCTCCCTGCCCGCTGCGTTGTGACGTCACACTGTCCGTGGCCACGCCCTCCGTTTTCTCCCCAGGCTCCTCCCTCCGATGAAGCAGAGACTAGAGCCCAGGCCTGGGGATGGAACAGGTGTAGTGGGACCAGCGGGGATGGAGGGCAGGGAGAGGCGGAGCCATGCCTCCCGGGCTGGGCCAGGGGAGGGATGAGGCCGGACAGCCCGGTAACCCCTATGCTCAGCCTCCTGGAATAGACCCGCCCTGAACTTGACCCCCTAGAACAGTGTTTCCCAAACTTTTGACATATGTGTACCCCTTCTATAATTTTCGTAACGCTGAGTGCCCCCTCGTACTCATGAGAACGGAGAATTAGGCGCCGCTAAGCACAGTGCGGTGCACATCCCCACCAAACTCTTCCCGTACCCCTGGGGGTGTGCGGACCGCACTTTGGGAAACACTGCCCTAGAACACACCCTCGTTTCAGCCTGTCCCTCGGGCCGGCCTGGGCGGCTCCAACGCCTCCTTCAGAGCGGGGAGTTCCACCAGCTGCGAGACTTCACCATCTTTGAGAGCAATTTCGTGCAGGTGTGAAGCCCCAGGGCCGCCGGAGCCCCACCTCCTGACTTGGGGAACCCCGGCTTCCCCCCACTTCTGACAACTCCCCCATAACGTCCGTCTCCTGGAATTCCTCACCGACCCTCTCTCCATTCCTCCAGACCGTTAGCTTCTCTAGGAGACCTGGCCTCTGATTCCCTCGCTTCCGTTTCCCTGACTTAACACCTCTAGGACTCTTGACCTTTGACCTCCCTGACTTAACACCTCTAGGACTCTTGACCTTTGACCTCAGGACATCCGACTCCCACCTTGGTGTTTCATTCACTCGGTTCATGAACTGTGACCTCTTCCCAGTTCTGCAGGCACACACGCACACGCACACACACACACACCACCACCACCACCATCTCTCCGGCTTCTCACCCTGTCCCCCGCCCAGGTGACCCGCTTGGGAGAAGTTGCCAACAAGGTGACCATGGGGGTGGCGGCCTCCAGTGCCGCCCTGGAGCGCCCAGACCTGCTGCTGCTGGCGGGCCCCGCCAAGGAGAACGGACGCCTGCAGCTCTTCGGGTGACTGCCCGCCCCAGCCCAGCCTGACCTCCTCCCCCGCCCAGGGCACCCTGGTTCCTGCAGCTGCTCCTCTGGCCCAGAGGACCCTGGGCGGCCGCTACCCCAGAAGAACCAGGACAGGGCCGTCCCCAGGGGCCAGAAACTGGGTAGCCAGCCACGGGAGGGAACGGTCCTCAGCCACAGCCTGGCCCTGGTCCAGAGAATGGCCTGCAGCGCCCCCTGTGCGCCACACCCCCCCATCTCTGACCTCATCTCTGACGTCATACTCGTGTAGGGAGGCCTTCAGCCCCATCCTCCAAAGAGAGAAACGGGGGCCAGGGTCTCCCAGCGGGTCAGGGCTGGGACCAGAACCTCCGGCTCCTCATGATGGCCGACCTCGCTCAAGCGCCTGTCCCACTACGCACCGCCCCTTCGGTCTCTGGTTTTTCGTGGGAAACTAATGCAGATTCGCTCCAAAGTATGAAACACGCGACACAAAACATGCGTTTCTCCCATCCTAGGATCCTGCGTCCAACTCCGACCGCAAATACCAAAACACGCCCCTGGGTATAGTGCCGAGGTCGGCAAACTGCGGCTCGCGAGCCACGTGCGGCTCTTTGGCCCCTTGAGCGTGGCCCTTCCACACAATGCCACGGCCTGGGCGAGTCTCTGTTGAAGAAGTGGCGTTAGAAGGAGTTTACGTTTAAAAACTTTGGCTCTCCAAAGAAATTTCAATCGTCGTCCTGTGGATATTTGGCTCTGTGGACGAATGAGTCTGCCGACTACTGGGATAGTGTATTCAGAGAAGCATTCTGCCAGTGGCTTTGACTTTTTTTTTTAATGTTGTATTTTATTTTAGAGAGAGAGAGGAAGGGAAAGGGAGCGATAGAAACATCAATGATGAGAGAAACATCAATCCACTCCCTCCAGTGCGCCCCCTACTGGGGATCAAGCCCCAAACCTGGGCGTGTGCCCTGACCCAGAATTAAACCGTGACCTTCTGGTTCATGGGCCAATGCTCAACCAATGAGCCACGCCAGCCGGATGGCTCTGACCGCTTTGTAACTCGCTTGGTGGCGGAATCTGATTCTGACCTGAGCTAAAGGCGTCTCACAGCCTTAGCTTACCCGGCTCTGCGTTTAAAGCACGCCACAAAGCAGGATCCAGGCGTCTGACGTGGCCCGGCATTTTTCTACCACATTCCTTTCTTTTCGGTGCTAACTGCATCCCACCCATCGATCGCCCTGCTCCCTGAGCCGTGACCTGCAGTGGGAAGGATGCTAAGGTGGCGCTGTGGGAGGCCTCTGACCCCAGAATCTCCTTTAGCACTCTCCCCTCCCCCCACCACCCGAAAAAGCATACCATCCCGTAAAAGCATGGAGCTTGCTCTGCAAACTCAGCCTCGGGACTCCCCCGGCCCCTCCCTGCTGACCAGCTTACAGCGGAGTTACTCTGGCCCACTTCTGACGGGTGGACATCTAGTGTGTGTGCTGGCCCTTTAACAGTGGCAGGCACATGCCCTAAGCTACCTTTCCCTCAGCAGGATGTCAGTATCCACGTCACATCGACGTGAGAACAGCCACCAGGGCCTCTTGTGGACATACATGACTGATCAGGTTCTGGCCCCTAGGGCACCACTCTTTTTTTTTAAATATACAGAGAGGGAGAGGGATAGAGAGTTAGAAACATCGATGAGAGAGAAGCACGGATCAGCTGCCTCCTGCACACCCCCCACTGGGGATGTGCCTGCAAGCAAGGTACATGCCCTTGACCGGAACCGAACCTGGGACCTTTCAGTCCACAGGCCGACGCTCTATCCCCTGAGCCAAACCAGTCAGGGCATCACTCTCTTATGTGATTTTTTTTTTTGGGGGGGGGAAGGGGGCACCACTCTTGCTGTTCTAGGGAACATCTTGTAATAGGGACCATCGTTGAACACAAGGCCACCTTCGGGTGACCTGGGTTCAAATCCTGGCCTCCCCTCTTCACTAGCTTTGGCCAAGTTCCCTACCTGTCTGTGCCTCAGTTTCCTCCTCTGGAACATGGGGATGAGGGGAGAGCCCCCCTCCAGGGCTGCTGGGGGATACACTGAGTAAAGGTGCTGAGATGAGAACAGCAGCGCCTGGCACAGCGTAAGCTCTGTCAGTGCCGGCGGCTCTTCTTCCATTTGAGAAAACAATCATCGATAGTCCCCCCCACCCCCCACGGAAGTTGTGTCTGGTGTCTTGGGGGTACAGCCAGCGTGGCAGGCAGGAGACACCCATGTGCCCAGGTATGAGGGTGTAAAACCAATTCCTAGTGATAGGCTTGCTGGGCCAGAGCGGGCTGTGGTTAAGAACATGGACAACTGGGTCCGGATCCCGCTGTGTGACCCAGGCCAGCTTACCCACCCCCTCTGGGCTCTTTTCTCCTCTGCCTCGGACCTTAAGTCAGGCTGGAGGCAGAACAACTCATTTCTTCAAATACTCAAGTACCCGCGGCACTCTGTGTCCATCTGGGTGCGAGGGAAGCCGAGTGACAAAATCAGCCCCAAATCTCTGCCCTCCACTGGGCCCACCTCCTACCGGGCAGGCAGACGGAAGAGATGGCAGTTCGTCCGTTGGGATAACAGGTCTGCGGAGACGTCTGGGGGCCCAGAGAGAGGACCATGGGGAGGTCTGCAAGCGTGGACGCGGTTGCAAATAGGCCAAGGATTGTAAACAGACTCCCCTGAGAGAGAGAGGAGGGGGCCAAGCCGCAGAGACTTCAGGCAGAGGGGACCGCCTGTGCAAAGGTCCTGGGGTCGGACCAAACCTGGCCGGTTAATGGAACAGCGCAGAGGCCAGTGTGGTTGCAGCGGAGTGACCAGGGGGTAGGCGGGAGGTGAGGGGGCAGAGGGGGGCACAAAAGGGGAAGACGGTGCAGGGTGGCGGCCGTCCTGGCCAAGGTGAGGACTTGGCGTTTACCCTGAGCCGACTCAGGTGTTGACCGGCGCCCTCTGGCGGCCGCGTGGGGGACAGACTGGGGCTGGCGGCCCAGGCGGGACGTTAGGGGCCGGGCCCAGTGGAGGTGGTGGTGGAAGTGGTGGGATTTTGGATAATTTTAGCAGCAGGGCCATCTGGACTCGGTGGCAGGACTGCATGAGGGTGCGAGAGGGAAAGTCAGGAGCAGCTCCAGGTTCCTGACCGAGCAGGTGGAAGTGAAAACCGGAGGACGGGGAGCAGCGGGCTGGTGGGGTGGGGACCAGTCAGACACTGGGTGGCCGGACATCTTCGATGCCGGCTGTGGAGCCAACGTCCAAAAGGAACTGGATTTCACGGAGGCGGGTGCCTATTCACCTCTGGGGCGGAGAATGTGAACAGGGCTCTGGGGAGAGGGGGGCAGCCAGGGGGCAACCTCGATGCCGAGGGGCTGGGAAGGCGGGCCCTGAGGCTCCCCTTCCGCCCGCCAGGATGGTCCCCTTGCAGTTCGTCCAGCTCTTCGTCCACGACGAAAGCCGCAGGCAGCTCAAGGTCAAGTTTCAAACCGGACGCACCTTCTACCTGCAGCTGCAGAGTCCGCCCGGCTCCGGGGACTGCGAGTTCGGCCAGTGGGTGCGGCTGCTCTACTGCCTGCGCTTCCCCTCGGCCCAGAGTGACCGGGAGGAGGACCGGGATGAGGAGGAGGAGGAGGATGATGGAGAGGACGATGAAGAGGAGGAGGAGTATCTGACCGAGGGGGCGGAGTGCGGAGAGTGGTGGGTGGCGTCTGAGGGAGGAGGGGCTGGGGGCCTGGACCCCTGGGTCTGAGGGAGGAGGGGCAGGGACTCCTGGGTCTGAGGGAGGAGGGGCTGGGGGCCTGGACCCCTGGGTCTGAGGGAGGAGGGACTGGGGGCCTGGGTCTGAGGGAGGAGGGCTGGGGGCTCGGACCCCTGGGTCTGAGGGAGGAGGGGCTGGGGGCCTGGACTCCTGGGTCTGAGGGAGGAGGGGCTGGGGGCCTGGACTCCTGGGTCTGAGGAAGGAGGGCTGGGGCCTGGACCCCTGGGTCTGAGGGAGGAGGGGCTGGGGGCCGGATGCCTGGGTTGATGGGGCAGTGACAGGACTGGACTCGGAGTCCTGAAAGGTGTGCAGTCTGTGATGAGGGACAGCAGGGACGCAGCAGGGGGGTGTCTCATGGCCTGAGTGGGGCCGGCTAAGGTGGCCGAGGTACCCTAACCGGACATCTCCCCCTCCAGCCTCTGCATAGGGGCATCTGGCGAGGGGATGCCCGGGCCTGCAGGGTGGGGCCGGCCGGGCCCGATGCCCCGGTCCCCGTGGGCCTGGGGAGGGGAGCTGCGCCTCCCCCTGAAGGTGGGGCCCCTGGCGCCTGCGGGGCCCTTCCTCCGGAGATCCCTGTCCCCCCTTCCCGGTAGGTGCAGCGTCCTCTCCCGCCCCAATGGCAGGTGCACCTGCAGCCGCGGCCTCTGAGACTCCGCCCGCAGCTGCGAGCCCGGGGAGCCGGGCTGAGCCCTCGGGCCCCCGAACTCCGGGACTGAATCCGGGACTGACTCCGATGCCTCCAGCCCCCCTGGACGCCCCCAAAAAGAACCAGAGATCTAACCTCCCTACATCGGGCCGGCCGAACGGATCATTAACGTGAATCAAGACGGGCCACTTCAGAGCCAACAACCGGGTCGTGAGCAGTTTGGCCAATTGCACGTGGGTGGCCGCCGGGTCCGAGCAGCCTTCCCAGCATGCTCAGCGGGGTTCCCACGCCCGTCCCCGCACCGCGCCCGGCTCCTTGGGGGCCACCCCTGGGACCCAGCGCCCCGTTTCCAGCCGGGCCTTGGGCTCCTCCCCGACTCCCGGGCGCCAGTCTAACGGGTCCGCCCCTGACGCTTCCGTGGTTGCCATAGCAACGTGGTGGCCCCACTAAAGTGGCGATTTCCTGGACGGCGGCCTCCGAGTGGTCTGTTTTATCGTGGGGTTACCTTAAGGCGGGGGGGGGGGGTACCGCTGACCTGGCTGTCGTGTCTCACCCCCACCCCCACCCCCGCCCCAGGGGCCAGCCCTGCCCAGGAGGAAGGCGGGGCTGCGGCGGCAAGAAGGACAGACAGACACGCGCGTCTCCAGACAAGATTGTTCTCCTCTCAGTGGTCGCCGTCGGGGGGCTCGGCTCAGGCTCAGATCCGGCGGCGGGGACGTCACTGAGGCACTGCGGGGACAGGGGGAGGGGTGGCTGCGGGGAGGGGCGCAGGACCCGGCTCCCCCGGCCCGCGCCCCGCCAGGCCCCTCCGCCTGCTGCACTCGCGTGGCCAGCAGGGGGCGCCGGCTCCCCGCCCTCCTCCCTGCAGGGTGCCGCCCCAAGGCCAGGCGCCGCCCCAAGGCCAGGCTGCCCGGGAGGCCTGCAGCTTGGAACCCCAAACTGGGAGCATCTGAGCAGAGATTTCTGGGCAGCGGCTGCATCAGGCTGACCCGGAACCCCGGAGTGGGGCTATTTCTGAGCTGATGGAACAGCTGGAAAAGGGGAGAGCGGACTGGAGGCTGACAGGGGAAGGCTGGGGGGACTTTGAGCCCCGTGTAGGGACCCTCCTGTCTGCTGTCTGGGGTCAGGGGCGGTCCCAGCTGGGGAGGGGCTTCTCCAGCAGCTCCCCCGCAGAGCCCAGCAGTGTGGGGCGACGAGGAAGCGGGTTCTGGGGGGACGGGATGGCACGTGCAGGGGCCCAGGGCCAGGAGGGAGCACGGCCAGTCTGTCCTACTGCCCACGGCTCCGTGTGGCCCGAACAGCGTGGAGGAAAACGGGGGCACATGAGGCCGGAGAGGGACGGCGGGGGGAGGGGAGGGGAGGGGTCAGATGCAGGACCATGACGCCAGGCTGAGGGGCGCCTGGCTGCTGGGGAGCCCCTGGAGGGCAGGGAGCCCCCGGACAGAGTGTCCTCTGGGCCCTGTGTGGGGTGGGCTGCAGAGAGACACGGAGGCGGGGAGCATTCAGAAGGAAAAGGAGCCCTAGCCGGTGCTGCCCAGTGGCTAGAGCGTTGGCCTGCAAACTGAAAGGTCCCAGGTTTGATTCTGGTCAAGGGCACGTGCCCGGGTTGTGGGCTCGATCCCCGGGGTGGGGGGGACTTGCAGGAGGCAGCCGATCCATGATTCTCTCTCGTCGTGGATGTTTCTATCTCTCTCTCTCTCCCTCCCTCTCTGAAATCAATAAAAAACATATTTTTTTTAAAAAAAAAAAGGAAGAGGAGCCCTAGCCAGTTTGGTTCAGTGGATAGAGCGTCGGCCTGCAGATTGAAGGGTCCCGGGTTCGATTCCCACCAAGGGCACATGTCCATGTTGTGGGCTTGACCGCCAGCAGGGGGCGTGCAGGAGGCAGCCGATCCATGATTCCCTCTCATGATGGATGTTTCTATCTCTCCCTCTCCCTTCCTCTCTGAATGAAATCAATTAAAAAATAACCACAAAAAAAGAAAGAAAGAAAGAAAGAAAGAGGGCCAGCAGCTGAAGCTGAGGCTGCAGGCTGAGGGGGGGGAGGGGGGACAGGCAGAGTGAGGTGGGGGGACAGCCTGGGGCAGGCTGTGCAGGAGGAAGGCGTGATCCTGGGCTCCCACGTTTGTTTCGAGGCCGTGTCCACACGCCTCCCACTGCAGGCCGCGGTGGTCACCTGCTCTGCTCCCCTCACTCGCTTCCTTCTTTTTTTTCTTTTAATATATTTTACTGATATTTTACAGCGAGGAAGAGAGAGGGATAGAGAGTTAGAAACGTCGATGAGAGAGAATCATCGATTAGCTGCCTCTTGCACACCCCCTTACCGGGGATGTGCCCGCAACCAAGGTACATGCCCTTGACCGGAATCGAACCCGGGACCTCTCAGTCCGCAGGCCGACGCTCTATCCACTGAGCCACACGGGTCTCGGCTCGCTTCCTTCTTGTCCTTTGACTCCCCTGGGACCTGGGACACCACCCAGGCCATGTCAGGCGCTCACACACACACACACACACACACACACACACCCGGGCGGCTCCCGAGGGTCTAACCCATAGCTCGGCAGCAGGCGGAGGGCCCCTCACCTCGGACCTCCAGCTTGCACTCGGCCAGCGCCTCCCCCAGCTCGTTGACGGCGAGGCAGGTGTAGGTGCCCCCGTCGAAGGGGGAGGGGCGCCGGATGTTCAGCGTCAGGATGCCCTGGTAGTTGGTCATCAGGTACTTGGGGTCCTCTCGGATCTCCATCTTGTTCTTCATCCAGACCACCTTCGGCTGCAGAGGGGCAGGAGGCGGGCAGCTCAGAGAGGGCGCCGGGCCGTGGGGGGGGACAGCCCTGGCGGGAGGAGGTCTGAGCCCCCCGTTGGCTGGGCCCCCCCCCTCATTACGGCCGCATGACCTTGGTCTCATCGCGCCCCTGACCCTCGGGCTCCTCCGCTGCAGAAGAGGAGCTCACTCCTGGGGGTCCCAAGGGCCCAGCAGGATTCATTTATTTTTACTTTTTTTATTATTATTTTAATACGAGAGGCCCATCGCATGAAGATTGGTGCAAGGATAGGCCTTCCTTCCCCTGGCTTTGCTCCGGCCTGGGAGTCTGCAAGTCTTTGCTCCCAGCCAAAGCACCGCTCCTGTAGCTCCCTCTGACCCCGCCTTTCCCCCCATAGCAGGCCACGGACGATGCACAAGAGCGTGTGCAGGGCCGTGTTCCAATAAAACTTTATTCAGAGAAGCTGGCGGCAGGTGGGTTTGAGCAGCCGGTTAAAGGGGAGCAAAGCCCATGAACGGAGAAGAGACAAGCCCCAGGGGCAGAGGGGCTGTGATGGGCGTGGGCGGGACTTCGTCTTGCTGACCCTTCCCCTCCAGGGTCACACACATATGCACACGCACACCCACACACACGCACACACACGCACCTTGGGGTGGCCTCTGACGGCGCAGTTGAGCGCAGCGGTGTACCCAGCCACCACCACGCGGTCCAGCAGCGGCGTCAGGAACTTGGGGGCCATCCGGAAGTCATGCTCCTTGTACTCGGGCGGCTTCCAGCTGATGCCTGCGGGGAGATGAGCCTGTGAGGCGACCGAGCCCCGCCGTCCCCAGCCGCCATCCGCGTGGGGCCTGGGGGCGCAGGGTGCAGCGGAGCCATGGCCACGGCTGCAGCCCGGAGGGGCTGGACCCAGGGGGAAGGGGGCGGCCTCACCCGTCTTGAGGATCCGGGCCGGGTCCTTGGAGACGCCGGGGGACTCGCTGAGCCCGCAGATGTTCTCGCTGTAAACCCGGAAGAAGTACTCGTTGCCCACGATGAGGTCGGACACCGTGCAGTGGGTCTGGCGGTTGTGTTCGTAGACGTTGAACCACTCCTGGGGGGAGGACCGGGAGGAGTGGGAAAGTCAGCCGAAACCGGTGTGGCTCGGGGACAGAGCCTCGGCCTGCGGACTGAAGGGTCCCGGGTTCGATTCCGGTCAAGGGCATGCACCTTGGTTGCGGGCACATCCCCAGTTGAGGGTGTGCAAGAGGCAGCTGATCGATGATTCTCTCTCATCGGTGTTCCTAACTCTCTATCCCTCTCCCTTCCTCTCAGTAAAAAATCAATACAATATATATATATTTTTTAAAAAGAGTGGAAAAGTCAGGGACACAAACCAGGAAAGGAAAGCACAGAGGTCTGAAGACGAACAACCCAAAGGCCCATCCGAGGATGGAGACGCGCCATCCCTCGGCCAGGAAGAGGCAGAAACACCGAAACCCAGAGGACACCAGGCTGAGGGACAGCGGCCGGGCACTAAGGGCCGCAGATGGTGCGATTCTATTGCTAGGCAACGTCCAGAAGAGGCACATCCGCAGACGCAGGGAGCAGAGTGGGGGTCGCCAGGGGATGGGCGAGGGAAAGGGGTGACTGTTTAGTGGATACGGGGTTTCCTTTCAGGTGTGAAATGCCTCGGGACTAGCCTGGCCGCCGTGGCTCTGGGGCTGGGCATCGACCTATGAACCAGGAGATCAGGGTTCGATTCCCGGTCAGGGCACACGCCCGGGGATGCAGGCTCGATCTCCGGGGTGGGGAGTGCAGGAGGCAGCTGATCAAGGATTCTCTCTCATCCTCTCTCTCTCTCTCTCTCTCTCTCTCTCTCTCTCTCTTCCTCTCTGAAATCAATAAAAATAAAAATTTTTAAATATATATTTTATTGATTTTTTTACAGAGAGGAAGAGAGAGGGATAGAGAGTTAGAAACATCGATGAGAGAAAAACATCGATCAGCTGCCTCCTGCACACCCCCTACTGGGGATGTGCCCGCAACCAAGGTACATGCCCCTGACCGGAATCGAACCCGGGACCTTTCATTCTGCAGGCTGCTCTATCCACTGAGCCAAACCAGTTTCAGCAATAAAAATAATTTTTTTAAAAACGTTCTGGGACTAGATAGAGGTGGCGGTTGCACACCACTGGGAATGTACTGAAAGCCACTTCAACATCAATGCTTAACACTGTTAGGTGAATTTTATCTCCATTTAAA